CTTGTTGTAAACCGCCCAGTGTCGTTTCACGAGATGGGTGGTGACAAATTTGATAAATAAATAAAATAAAAAGAAATATACATACATATTAATATATGTACATATTAATATATATTAAAATACATACATACATACCCATCATGCTATTCTCTTTAGGGCAAAGCTCTGAAAAAGAGAAAGAAATAACAAAGGACAGAAATTAAAGACATGATAAGAAAAAGGAAAGGAAATACAGTTAATTCAAGTTTACATCAACACCATTAAACTACTCCCCTCTTTTTGTTTGAGGATCTCATAAACTCCATCCATCCAGGACTTTCCCAGTCTGGCTCTTCTTCAGCTCACTTGCTTGTCCTTCAGATGCCTGTTCTGGAAGTCAGTCTTCATTCATTTCCTCTATACAACCGATCCCTTCCCCCCATACACTTCCTTGGTATTGATTATTCAGTTCTGTATTCCTTTAACACTTCTGGTTTTTACCATACCCTCTTCATTCCTACTGTATTCAGTGTAGCCGACTCTCCCTTTCACAGAACAAAGTGGGCAGAAACACTCACTAAAATACATTCTTTTGCACTTCTTTTGACAAACATCCATTCCTTGCAACAGATCGCATACCACCCACAATTTACAGCAAGCATTTGCAAGTTCTCTATTTTCTCGTCTTCAGTACTTATTGTACCCATTTTTTGCCATTTATATATAACTTTTTAAATCTCCACTCTGAAACTACCTTGGACTTTAATATATTAATTTTCAGATCCATAATCCTCATTATACATATTTGCTGTGAATAATTTGAGTTCTCAACCAACAAAACTGCAAACAAAAGTCCATGAACATTTCATACCCCCGACCCACACCCCTGTAATCACCGCACAAATATTCCTTTTCGTGCATCCATAAACACTTTCAACAACCAACAGGTTATGATAAACCACACTGCACTTTACAATTTTTGCTCTCTCTTGTGCTCAGCATTCAGTCATCCCTTTCCCAGGCACACTTAACAACGAATCCCTCTGTAGCTTTTGCAGTCACTCTCACTGGCTTTCCCTTGCATAAGGAACAACTTGACAGTCACAAATGCAGCTTTACACACACATTAAACAAGTTGCATGTAAGTAAACCACATCAACATTTTAAGATTCTTCTAGTTACAGGATTTAACCTTTAAGTAGCCTTGCTACTTTTCAACCTTCTCCCAGCATTTCTTGCTTCTTTTTCATAATGTTTCTTGGATACTAACATTAGCCGTTCATGTCGATGCCATTAGTTCTTCTGCATATCACTGACATTCTCATACAAATCTCTTAAAATACTCCCTGCAGAATTCCGTCATCTCAGCTGCACACCAAATCATTCTAGCATTTTTACCTTTGATTCTTTAAGAGCAATGATCAGTCTTCCCTGCCTCTTTGGCTCTGTTCTTTGGAACGGAGCAGGCTAAGATACATCCCTGTTGGCCCTCTTCTGCTCCTCAGACACTGTGGAACCCTTTCCTTAGGAAAAGCAGCAGCAGACTTCGGGTATCAGCCTTTGCCAGTTTATTCCACAGGCAGCCTCTGCGTCTAGAATCAAAAGGTGCTCCTTAAATCCATAGAAGGGGCAGAAGGCTCTTCACTCTGGGCCATCAGGTGCCGTAAAATGTGGCATGTGTTTGTCTCCCAGAAGTCAGCCTGGAATCCTTCAGTGTGGGATTTCTATCTGGCCAATCCTCCCAATTTTAGGAGGAAAAAAAGTGCACTCTGATACCGAATCATTGGAGAGGTCTGGCATTTTAGCAAGGATCTTGCTTCTTCCCTCCTGACGCACTGCTTTCAGTCTCTGCCTTGTTCTGGGTCAACGAAGAAGACTGGCAGGTTGTCAAGCCCAGGGAAGCCTCTGCTCTCCCAGATTCTGGAAAGCGAGTCCTGGAGAATTCTTTGTGCAGGTGCAAACCCCCCGAGACACTGCGAAGCCCTACAAGTCACTCCCTATGTGTGTAACATTGTGTAGCACAAGAGCCAGCCCTGGACTGGAAGCTTAGCAGGGAGTGGGGAGTCTGGAACCTCTGGCCTTGTGCTGGAACTGGGCCCAGTACCCCTGGCCGCAAAAAGTAGGCATAATTTTCCCACGCCTATCAGAGTTGCAGGTGCAGGAGGAATAGATGGGAAAAGCTGCCCCACCCAGCGCGTGCAGCGTCTGCTCTGGGGCAGAAGCAGATGGTTGTGCTCTTTCTGACTGAAGGAATGATGGAGATGAACCCCCTTGGAGAAGGGCTGATTGGACAGGAGGCAGGCAAGACCCCAAAAATGGCTCGCAGGCTATGAAGGTGGCGGCTGGGCCGGGCCTTCTGCTCCTGGGAAATGGCACGCGGGCCGTTTGCCCATTGCTGCAGCCAGTGGGCATCATTGTGCCAGGAGCCATCCAAGGTTGACCACTTTTGGAAGAACCAACTTTCTGAGAGAAGAGACCAAGGATTTTAAAACAGAAATCCGAACGAGGCTTCCTGCCTTAGGGGGATCTGGGCGGCCGGGCGGGACGTGCTGGGCATGTGCTGTGAAGGCAGACGAAGGTCCTTGTGGCGGGCTCGGGCTGCCCTTGCGGGCGCTTTCTTTCACAAGGCCAGGCTAAGGGCCACCTCTTCCCCTGGGAATAATCTGGCGGTGATCTGGTCCATGCGATGCGTAGTTAGTGTCCTTTCTCTTGCTTTGTCTTGTAGCCCGTTGTTGATATGCCCCAGTATCCTGTTTGCCTTTTTTACTCCAGCTCCACCCTGAGCTTCAAGGATTTTTCTACAATACCCCCTAAACCCCTTTCCTGGTCAGTACGCTGCATGACTGTTCCATGTAATCTGTGCCCTCAATATTCAGTTTGTTGCCCCCAAATGTATTCTTTCGTACATTCGTCTGCGTTGTCCATGTTCTCGGCACAGTCCCCTAAAAGATCCCACCAGCCCCTGCTCTGGACGTGGTTGCCTCGTGGCTCCTCCGTTGCCCGCATCAGCTGAGTGTGGCTCTCTTCCCTTCGATCGCCTCCTTCCAGCCTGCCCGATCGCCAGGCGCTGCCGCCCCCCAGGCCTCCCTCTGGATGCTGAGATGCCTCCCGCCGCCACCGCCACCGCCGCCGCCACTGCCACTGTTTTGAGCCAGAGGCCCCCTTCCCCTGCCATGCGACAGTGTGGATGAGCCATAAATGTGCGACTTCAATCTGCAGCTGCTCTCCTTTTCCAAAAGAAGTTTCATTCCTTGACTTTGCGTTTTGTGGAGTTTGGTTTAAAATCTCCGCATCTTGCCGGAGCCTGTTCCACGCTGTGTGTGGGGCTGCCTTTGTGATGCGTGGCAGCGGGGGGTGAGGCGCGTTCCTCTTTCATGGAGGTGCTTTCTTCTGCTTGTAGGAACGAGGTGGCCAAAATGAAATTTGAAGGCAAGACGTTCTATTTATATGTAAGTCAGAAAGAGGTGAGTGCTGGTGCAGCTGCCAGATGGCCTCTGAGGCCAAACAAATCCAGCGGTTTCTCTGCCCGCAGACCACCCCCAATAGGTCAAGACGCTGTGTGGACCCAGGTCAAATGTGGCGTTCCCTGATTAAAGTAACAGCCAGGCCGAGGATCTGGAATGTTTCCAAACGGACCAGCAGAGCTTCCTTTGATGCAGGCCGAACCAGGCTAGATCCACGGCCTGCTGGTCATAAGGTGCCCCTTACGAGGAGAGGCGCTGATGGGTCCATCTGTTTGGGTTGGCCGAATGCTGGGCCTTCTCTTTGGTTGGAGAGAAAACTCAGAATCTTCTAGGCAACCCCCTGAACAAATAAGATTATCATCCCAATTATCTCAATTGTTCTGGGACACGTCGGACCAGCCCTTTTAGAACAGCCTTCTCATCGGTGCACAGCGCCAGGTACAGATGTCCCCGGGACTTGAGGGTTTCTGCCGCCCAACCTCCATGATGGCCATGATGCTGGAATCTGGAGTGGAAAACCCTTGGGATCGGAAGGGCTGCATTTATTGCCGGGCTGGGGGCAGCACACTTGTCTACCTCACCCCAAAGGGCGCTTCCTTCCCCTCCACACTCCAGGTGCCTCCCCCCGACCAACCCTCTACGCCTCTCGCTCCTCTTTCCCCCACCCCCGCTGCTCATTGGCCTCGCCCACGCGGCCAGCGAGCCGGGTGGCTGAGGAATACGGAGGGGCTCAGGGCTGTGCCGGTGGGGAGGGGCAGGCAAAGGAAGATTGGGGTCCTGGAAAGACTGCCCAGTTCAGTTACTCAACACAAATCCGTCATTCAAATTACATCTATTTTTCCAGGCTTTGGTTGATGGCTCTTTGTTCCAATAGAGTGGCGGTGTCCGCTGTGTCAAAAAGTCAAGGTGGTGGCACCTGCCCTGTTTTACGTGCATCGCGACTCACATTAAAAAGAGGGTGGGATTTTGATCGCATAGTGTAGAGAATAGGGAAGATGACCTTGATGGAGATAGACAGGATCTGTTGCCTAGGCCAAAGGGGCTAAAGCAATTTTTAAGTCCAGAACGTCCAGATAACATGTTGAAGCCTGAGAGGCAGAGGCCTCCCTGATTCGCTGGAGTATAACAAGGAGGAGGAGGAGGAGGCGGCGGCACGGAGCCATCAGACTGGCAAGATGCTGTTGTTAGAGCCCATCTTGATAAAAGTAGTTTTAGCCATACTGTGGAGTTGATTTCCTGGTCTCGCCTGCCTAGTGGGGTTGACACATGGTGTGGCCACCATCTTGACTTGGAACCCCCTCCTCCCACAGACATCCCTGCACCAGAGCCTGGATCGAAAACATCCATGCCTTTTTCTAACTTGGAAATTATGCTTTGCATGCTTTCTTTCAACCAGTATGAAGAACAGCTGTAAATTAACCTTAAGGATTTTTCTGGGATTTTGACAGGAAAAGAAAATTGTTCTGACCTATTTTGCTCCAACTCCTGAAGCCTGCAAGCATCTCTGGAAATGTGGGATTGAAAATCAAGCCTTTTATAAGTGAGTAAAATACATATTTTCCCAGGATCACTTGTTATTCTTGGGAAGCTATAATCCAGAGCCCGACTGCTCCCCACAAAGTGCTGGGATGTTTCTGCAGGGCTGAGCAGGGTTGCGATCCAGGATTGGTTTCCCTGCTGCAGCCGCAAACTGCCCTGTACAGGGATTTAATCTGGTTGGCAATCCCTCCAGCTTCTCCCTGGGAATTGCCCTTCCTGTCTCCTAACCAAAGTGCAGAAGCCCGAGAAATTAAAGCGTCCGTGAGAAAGAACTTCTGGTGAAGAGCATCCGCTGTCCAGAAACACCTTGTTTTTATGCTCCGCGTCATCTTGTATTTTGCTTCAAATGGATTTCCTTTTGCTCTGTGTGTTGCATCGCCTTGTTTGGAATCCCTGTGTTCGGGCAGCCTAATTTTTCCTTACACTAACACGAAATGCTCTGGCTCCTTTTCCGGGTGGAGGGTGGCCATGATAGCTGCTCTGGGACTGATGCACATCCTGAAACAGGTGACAGATATTTCCGCTTTAGTTTTAAGGGTCTGTGCCTCATGCCAAAGTGCAGCTTTTAATTATTCTAAACCAGATTTGTACAGATCTACATCAGAATATGTATATATCTGGCAAAATCCTGAGCAGTCTTGTATGCTTGCCAATTTCATCCCATATTATTAAAACAATTATGTTAAAATTGCATTTAATATATTCAGCTTTTCCAGATCTTGCTGTAGCTGAAGCTCCAAGTTGAACTGGACAGTCTCTGATTCTGTTGAATCAAATTATTTTCCAAATTACCAAATTAAATCTCAACTAGATAATCTGATCAGTGCTACCTAAATTCAGCTATGAAGTCAGATTCCCCTTCATGTAGCTCGGTGGGTCTTGGAATTTGTGACTGGCTCCATTAACCAAGGAGTCAACCCTCGGCATCGTCTGTGGCCAACCTGGTGGGGTGGGGGTGGTCTGTTCCCAGAGTGGGCAGTGATGGTTTTTAAAAGATTATTCAGTTCAGCGGGGTACAGAACCCCAGAGAAGACACACAATGGCACTGAGCAACATAGGATTTCTGCCGGGGAAGAGAAGAGGACATTAGAAAGAAACTTAACCTGGCCCCACCTTCAGTCTTGTTGGCATAAGAGGGTTGGGAGGGAAAACGCAGCCAGGTTTTGAGATCCTGTCTCCATAGCGTAGCATCCTTGTGGAGTCCGTTTCTTGACCTGGCCTATCTTGAAGGGCTGACAAGCTCAACAGTCTCAAGCACAGAAGAGCTTTGGCACCGGGCCTCTTTTTAAAACTCCACTTGCAGTACTTGTTTCCTCTGGGGAGTTCTCTTTCCCTCAGCAAAGCTCGATTTTTATCTTGGAAGGAAACTTCAGGTAATCAGTTCTCCTCTAATCTTGCTAAGCAGCTTTGGAAAACTCCTTGTGAAGGCTCAAATGGAGCCCCGTAATCCTGAAACTCAGTGTTCTTGAGCTGTTTGTTTAAATTGTTCATAGCATCCTGTGGCTGTCCTGTTAGGCATCCTAAGAAACAGCCAGCTCTTTCATTTCACTTTCCCCATCCCTCTGTCTGTCTGTCTGTCTGTCTCTCTCCCTCTCTCGGGCAGCTAAAAGTCTCCTCACTGCCCACCCTGTCAAACTGAAATCCACAAAAAAGAGATATTTGTAGAGGGGGAAGAGGGCATCAGCCCTGCCTTTCCTCCCTTTACCTGTTGAGGAGGTGGATGTCCCATCTTTCTCAACAAACAAGTGGACAAAAGTGGCTTACCCAAAATTAGAAGACATGTAAATGTTAACCATGAAGGCCCTGGCAAGAGAGATGCATCTGGGCAAACTGCAAACTCCGAAGGAACCTCTTTAGAAAGGCCCCCCTGCGGACTGTCGTGCCCGGGCAGGTGAAAACTGTTTAGGCTTCGCAGGTGGAGACCCGTCCTTTCAACTGGGAGCCTTGCAGGCATCCGATGCTGCACTTTACTCTAATCGCAGCTTCTGGATGCGCCGTAAGGCAGCTATCTCACTTTGGTCTGGTAATCAAGATGCAAAGAAGTGCCATAAAACGTGGCCAGCTTAGGTGATCCTCTGGCTGTGACCGTGGAAAGGCCAGCAGGGCAAGTCCCAGGAGGAGTTCCCTTTCATGGGAAGCCGCCCGCGTGTCCATAATGGGCATTGTGGAAGCCTAAAAGACGGCCGTCCTTCCCCTTTGCGTGTCTGAGCCAGACCCTGAGTTACAGAAGTGGGTGCAGCTCCCGTGGAATGACCCTCTCTGCTTCATGGCCGTTGGCAGCCCACGAGCCCGTCTTCCTGCCCATTCTCAGAATACCCTGAGCCTTTGCTTCGTTTCCAGCACACAGTAATGAACAGCTTCCAAAGCCCGCCCGCCCCCATCTCAGCACTTTCAAAAGCCAAGTAACTGCTGTTGATCAAGGGTTGCTATTCAACCCCTTTGCCCACCTCTGCTTCTTGCTTCAGGTTGGAGAAGTCCAGCCAAGTTCGCACGGTCTCCAGCAGCAACTTATTTTTCAAAGGGAGCCGGTTCCGATACAGGTAAATAATGACTGTAAGTAGCTGTTACTGGATATATTTTGACACACGCCCGGTTGTGTGAAACCTGAGAGTTAGCTAAGGGAGGTGACAGTACAAAAGCAGTGTCTCCTTTGAGTTGAGCTTGACACATCCAGTCCTGTCATTTCCTGGTGGTCCCCCTTCCCAGTACCACACAGACCCATTGCCGCTCGGCTCTTCCAGGTACAGTTAGCAAGCTGGGCACCCAGTCAAACGCTTTCCACCCATTCTAGACCATCCAGTTATTGCCCAGGGATTAAGCTATTGCCCTTAATGATGCTGCAGATCAACTCTGGTCATGAGGGAGAAACGTTGCTGGACTCCTGAGTTTCAGGGACAGACGGAATTTGCCGGCAGAATTTTGGGCTGGGCATTTGCCCTGCTTGTCACCCCTTCTGCTCTTCAATCTCTTTCAGCGGCCGAGTTGCCAAAGAAGTGATGGAGTCTAGTGCCAAAATTAAGAGGGAGCCTCCGGAAATACACAGGTAAGGCAGCTGCGGGGATGAGCAAGAATCAAAGGGCCACCTGTGAGCAAGAAGGGCGTATTGGGGGGTTGGGGTAGGACCCACCCCACTCCCAGTTGCAAAGCGAATGGCCAAGCGCACATTTTCCTCGGTTGGGCCTGGCCTTCTGCAAGGCTCCGCCCTTGTGATCGCCGGTCCTGGCCCGGTGCCCTTCCTTTCTTTTGCAGGGCTGGTCTGGTTCCCAGCCGTAGCTGCCCCTCCATCCCCCACGGACCCCGGCTCAGCAGCGTTCCCAGGACCAGGAGGAGGGCCGTCCACATCTCCATCATGGAAGGTGAGCTGGCTGCCCCTTGCTGGCGATTCCAGTTGATACAGGTAGTCCTTGTTTAGCGGCCACAACTGGGACTGGCAACTCAATTGTTAAGCGAAGCGGTTGCTAAGTGAAACCGTGGCTGTGTTTACAATCTTCTTTCAGCTTTCCTTTGCTTTACAGACCTGCAAAGGTTGTAAATGTGAGGATTGGTCGTGACGTTACTTTTTCATCATTGTCGTAACTGCATACAGTCACTAAATGAGGCAGTCACTAAACGAAGACTACCTGTAGAAAAGTAGCAACCACACTACTTCCGATTCATTAGAATTCATTTTGTTGTACTACTCAGCTCTCTTTGATATGGATTTGAATCAGTTTGTGGAACTAGGTATTGAAAGAAGTGTTCAAGAGTTGAGACTTTAGTTTCACAGTACCAAACTGGAATGATCGAAGGCTCTGGGGGACCATCTTCCCACTTCATCCTCCTTTGCTAGTTGGAGCAGGAAAGTATATTCCCAAGGGATATGTATGGACAGCAATTAATAGATGGTTGTTTCAGTGAACAGTATTTTTATGAGAAAGGCTGTTCAGCGCCAACCAAAACTGTGGCAGTAGAATGTCTTTCAGTGCGCTTGCTGAATGTTTTGCCAGCTGCACCTTAGTTAGGAAATCATTCCTCAAACTGAAACTTTTGTGAAAAATCTCTTTGAGGAACGGAGAGTTTAGATCTGAAGCAGGTAAAGGTGCTTTGCGCTTGGTGTGGGCACTTCTCGGCATCTGCTGGCAGCCATGCTTTTTCCCAGCTGTGCGGGTTCTAGGAAATACACGTCTGAAGTGTGTGGCAGCAGCACCGAGCTGAGCCCGCGACACCACTGCCTTCATGACGCCCCGTGGCAGTCAGAAGAGACTGGAGGGAATGCCTTGACCCTCTTACAGGACACGTGCTGGGCGCGTTGGTTCCTGCCCCAAGCCAGAGGCCTGAAACGTTCTAACTGTGCCCAGAGACCACAGTGAAGAACAAGGCTAGAAACAGCACTTGGGAGATGCGCCTTCAGTGGCAAAAGCACGTTAGCTGAAAAAGGCGCTTCGATCGATCTGAAGAGAGTCGACAGGGAAGGCTGCCCTGCCCTGCCCTGCCCTACAAGGGCAGGGGTTTGGGCCTGTTGTTATAGACACGTAGGGCTTTGGACCTTGAATTCTAATACCCTCCTGCTTCGATGCTTTGCCACTAAATCCATAGCCATTCTTCCTCTAGCAGCTTCTGTCGAGCAAAACAAGTCATTATTGCCTATCCTTCAATCAACTTGCAGTTTTTATGTTACCCTGACAGGGCCAACCGCAAGCAGAAAGCCCCAATGTAAAAAAAAAAAAAAGTGGACAAAACTGCTTTTGTGGCCCCGCAATGAGGCCCTTCTTTCCATTCCTTCAGGCCTCGAGTCTTTGCGGGACAGCGCTCACTCCACCCCGGTCAGGTCGACCTCCCACAGCGACGCCTTCTTGCCCCACTCGCGAAGTGGCAGAGCAGAGAGCAGTGAGCGGGTGGCGGTCATCTCAGACGAGGTCTACAGTCCGTCGGACAGCGTGCTGCCCACTCCGGTGGCCGAAGAGAGTCTTGAACTGATGCTGCTGTCCAGGCCAGTGAACGGCGCTCCTTGCAGCATAGAGGAAGAGAAGGAATCTGAGGCCAGCGGCTCCCCCGCGGTGGAGGCCGAGGAGCTGGGAAGGGACCTCCGGGCCTTGTGCAGCAGTGGTGGAGCGCAGGCAGAACAGGTGAATAAGTTTGTTTTAAGTGTCCTCCGTTTGCTCCTTGTGACAGTCGGACTCCTCTTGGTTTTGCTCCTTCTCCTGATCATCCTTACGGAGTCTGACCTTGACGTTGCCTTTTTCCGTGATATTCGTCAGACCCCCGAATTTGAGCAATTCCATTATCAATACTTTTGTCCCCTCAGGCGATGGTTTGCCTGCAAAATCCGCTCCGTACTCAGCCTGCTCAATGATACCTGAAGGCAGTTCTCCTCCTAGTAACTAGCCAGGTGGACTGTGGAAGATCCCTGCTGCCCATTCCCAGAAAATGGGGTTCATCGTGGCACCATCGGCACATAAATTAAGTCCTCCTTTCATGACTCAAAGCACGCTGCAGCCCAGGAGGGTGGTTTCCCAGCCGAAGAAAGGGATAGACTCGTGCCAGATCAAACCAACCACGCAACCAATTTCTTTGGAGGTCCTCTTTCTGGAAGCTTCTTCAAAGTTCTGCTTTCCAACATTCAAATTTCTCTGCACTCTTCAAATTTATTTTTGCTTTTGTTGAGGTGTTAACTTCAAAAACTTCAAGTAGAGAGAGCTTATTTTATTATTACTAGCATTGCGTTAAATGCCAGCCTTCAGCTGGGACACTAGTCCATGAAGACAGCTGTTACTTTATGCAGGAGCTTTTGTAATGGTGCTACTGAGTTGTAAGTTTAATAATATGGTATTCTTTTATTAAAACTGCCACTGTGCGCAGCACTACCACCTTGAACGTGGTCACTGAAAATACGGCAGTCTTACTTTCTTACCAATTACCAGGCTTCATGTGGGGACCGAAGGGGGGCGATAGGACCAATGCCCACATTGTACGATCATCCAGCATTGTTAATTCTTTTCAAGCAATAGATTGTTATGAGAGGTCAGCAGTTAGGTATAAATCTATTTCTTCCCTTAGCATAGAGTGCAATGGCCATGTAACCTGTCTTTTATGAATTTCAACTCTTGGCCTTTACAATCCCAGAGAGAGAGACCTTTTCTTAGAACAGTTAGGTCCCAAAGGAAGCAAGGGTTGGTATATGGGAAGAGTCAATCTATGGACCTGATGGTTGTTGACGAAGTCTTGCTGTAGTAGCTATCAGATCTGGATTTCTTTGAATGAGATTCTGCCACAGTAAACAGTACAATTTTTTTTGTATTATGAAAGAACTTATTTCAACCTATATTTTAAGAAAAATATATATATTTTGTTAATGAACCAAGCCTTTTTTTACTTTACAAATTGGATAAATGTGGTGTTGGGTATCAAGTGATGGAGATACTCAAAAGGTTATGAATGTTTTAGAACAGTGTGTTAACACTGCACCAACCCATCCATCGTTTCTAGATCAAGGAAAAAGTGGGCTATTTTGTGCTATTTAAAATGAAGATTAGGAGAAATGACAGGTAACCACCGAGATGAAAACAATCAAACCAACTTTGTCTCCAAAGTAAAGGGAATCCAGCCTTTTTTCTATTTTGTTTTGTGCTGCAGATAGTATTCTCTAAAAGCAGCTTATTTGTACAGGGAGCAATAAAAAGTGGGAACAGAGCACGAAATTTGACCGGCAAGGGTTCTATTTCACCTCAGGGAGAGATTTCAAGTCATCCGGGGATCTAATCAGAAAGATTTCAAGAGGCCGGTTTCATGATTGTGACTCTGCCCGGGCAGCCGTGGTTCCGCCGTATGCACACGGGCCCTCCGAATTCAGCAGAACTGAAGCACTGCCAGAACCGACGGGAAGGAGGGCTATGGAGGACATGCACTGACTTTCCCTCCACGGCTGGTCGTTCACCATTCAGAAAAAGAGCACAATTAACAGCGTAGCAATACACGGGAATGGGCAAGAATCTGCTGAACTCAGACTGGGAGTGTGCACATCGGTTAGCAAGGGGTCCCTGGGAAATGGAAGTGCTCACCTCAGAGTCAACCATTACACGCCATTGCCAGCATCCTGGGAGCTGAAAGCAATTTTGGCTTTCAATAAGAAGAACCGGTACATTAAATTTTATATCATCTGTGAGAAGATGGAGGGTTATATCCAAGGATTTATACTGTTTTATGCAACACAGCAACAAAAACTTCTAGTGTGGTGTTCCTACCTCAGTCTGTAGTAAACGATGCTTCTATGCAGTGAGTGAAAAGTTTTCATTTAGTATTCTCCACTCCAGAGAAAGATAATAGCAGTTCACGTGTTAATTGTTGGTGGTGTTTCTCTTGCCTCAAACCCGTCCGATCTATTTGTAACAATTTCATGCAATACATTTTTTAAATGGACAAGAAATAAACATTGATGGGGGCAAGTCATTCTTAGATAGCTGTTGACTCTAAACAATCCTGGGCCCAACCAGAAGAAAATTTCTCCTGTGCATTTCAGAATGTGTTGGGGGGCCCAGAAGAGCTCCCTAGGGACTGGGCTCTATTTCTGCCAAGGGTTTAGTCCAACTGGCAAGCAAAGCTGTCCTGTCTCGCTCTGTGTTCTTTCATGGTTCACTACTAATTTGTTCCAAATCACAACTGTATGAACTGGGGGGATGTCCACAGGTTGCTGGATCAGAGGAAACAGACTCTTACTAAGGACTAATGTGCTGCACATGGAAGCAGGAAAAGATGAATTACCTGAAAATGTGAATTTTCATTTTCATAATATAGATGTTAATAATTCATGTGCCAAATACTGTATGTCACATTTTCCTTCAAAAATGTAAATTTTTCTACATATTCAGCCTGTAGTTAGTGCAAAATCATTGATGCCATATAAAAGTATTTTTAAATTTAAATAAATACTTAATAATGATGAAAACATTTCTTTTTGAGTAAATTAATTGGGATATGATCATGTATAATGATTACTGAAACATTTTAAACATATTTATATATGTTCACTATAACAGAAGCATGAATAACTAACATTTGGGGGAGATTTATACTATTGTTTGAGGCAGTGTACTTTTAAAAGATGTTTACAAACACAGTGGTCATCTCCAACAATGATTTGTAAGAGCCATTTTTCTGATCTGTGATTCCAGTGCATTCATAATTTCCAATCAACACCAGGAACAAGCAATATAAACATGCTGCTTATATGCAAAATATTGAATAAAATATGCTTTTTATTCACTCTTGAACACACCAACATTTATATTTCTTATCACAAAAGTATCAGCATTTAACTTCTAAACGGGGTATTCCCTATTGCACAGTTCCTCACACAGATTGATAAGCTGCTGTGAATAAACTGACACTAACAGTTTCTCACAACCCATTCAAAAACTGATAATCCCAAAATGACAAGTTTGGGCCTTATTAATTTCCAACTTAGTAGCAATAGATACCATCTTAAGATGCGTAACACAATCTATTTATTTGTCTGCAGCTATCTTTGTCCTGAGGCAATATATGTCATAACTAAGCTAAACACCAAATCCGGATTTCTTCTTCTGGCCCTGTTCACTCTTTGAAGACATGCAGGCGGCCACTGGAATTTCCACCCGCAACAATATACCTGGTGGGGTGCCAGGAGTTGATGGAACAAACAGAGTTAAGGTGATCCTCACTGAACAAGGAGTGCACCAGTTCTCCGGTGGCGTGAAAGGTTTGGATCTGTCTCGGCCGTGCCATGCTCCCCACCACAAAGCAGTCGTCCCTTTTGGGGTCCCAAACGGCCTGGAACCTGGTCAGCCATCGGCCTGTGTTGTTGTTGTGCCTGTTCAGAAAAGAGAAAACAGGGATGTAGTTTTTGCTCACTTGCCCCCTAAATTCCTGAATGACAATCCAATACCAAGACCTGTTCACTGTGGGTAATCTTATATATTTACACAGTTTCAGTCTCATCAGTACCGAGTCAACCTCCTTGTCTTAACTCACCGTATAGTTGCGAGGATAGGAGCTAAAGATGATAAACATTTGGTTCCGAAGATCCTGTAAGGCAAAAACAAACTTTAGCCAAATAACAAATCCCAGCACCTGGATTAGGTTTTAAGGGAGTAGGTCCCAAACTCTAAGATCGTAACTGCTGCCTTACGTGCCACTCTTCATAATACTATTTTTTATTTTATTATATATGTTCTTATTTAGATCTTATGATATAGTACTCATTGTTTTTCATTTATATATATAGATGTATGTAACAGTTCTACTATTGGAACTTTCACCGTATCTAGCCTTAGGCTCTAATAAACAACTTGATTTGATTAAGTGCCACTTAGGGCTTATCCACGAAGCTGCTTAGCCTTGCTCCCCGCCCCAAGAGGAAACCTCGTCGGTGTGAACGGTGCTGCCCCCACGGCCTGCTCACGGACACAGGGCAGTCTGTGCTGCTCTCCATACAGCCTTCCTGCACGACGCAGCGGAGACAGCGACTGGGAATCTCCCCGGCTGACATTCCACTCTTAGCCAACATCAATAACTGGAGGAAAAGTTGCCACCAATTCTCATCAAACTTTCTCATGTGAAGGTGTTCCTCATATGCTGGGGGCACTCTAATCACATTGGTACTGTAGTCATCTGTCTCTTTTTGCACAATCATCATCAAAACTTCCTTGAGGATCAAATTTCACCTCTCCGGGAGCATGCTCCAATGACACAGGCTCAACAAGAAATGGATACAGCCAGGCATAGCGTCAGTTGGTTAGTATCCCGCTATCCCGCCTGTATCTGCCTAGTCCACTGTCTTTGCTCAAGTCCCAAGTTCCTGACAGAGGACTTGCTTTTCAAAATGGAGAGCCTCTTTACAGTCAGTTGATACCCGTTGTGGAAGTGAAACCAACTAAGCCAACCACCCAGCCCATAGGTTGACTCCTCAAGAACATAACTGCCAGCTTTGAAAAGTAAAAGCACCACAATGATCATAAGTGCGACACCAGCAGCAACCAGGCCCTTCTCTTCTAAAAGAAATGACATGCTTCAATTCAGCAGATCAAACACCAAAGAATCAGCTGCTGCTTCCTCATTTCTCATTTGAAGCTTCCCTGGCTTTGCACACCAGACATTTGCAAAGGAAAGAAGCCAGGATGACTTTAAACTGCATTTACCAATTTCAGACCACACCCTGCTTCCTTCCTCCTGCCTATTTCCTCAGAACCTATTCCCCCCTTGCTGTTAACCATTCCCCTCGTTGCCTCCCACCTCCTGGGGGGGGCAGCTTGAGTTATTATTACTGTACCAGCATTCTTTCCCCTTATCTACACCAGCCAGCTCCTCCAATAAAAAGGCCTTAAACTCCTTAAAACTTTCGGAGACATCATGAAGGGAGAACTGGGAGCTGATTCCAGGACTGGAGACCAGATCCCTGACAGGAGAATGTGAACGGAGCCAAGATGATGAGAGGGAGAACCCAGGGCAGTTGGATATTAGGTGGGTGGGTGGGTGTGTACACAAGCCCCAGTAGCTTAAACTGGCCTCTGGCTCCAATAGTGAGCCAGCAAAGAGCCCTGCACTGCACGGAGATGGGAAAACCTGCCAGAAGGCCCAGATCAGCCCAAACAGCTTTTCTAGATGAAATCAGGGGACGGAGAGAGGAATTGGGATCAGCTGCCAGGAGACACTTGCATTAATTCAGGTGCAGAGACAGTTGCATTAATCCAGCAACTTTCAGCGTCATTAAGTCGCTGCGCTACCATGTCCCCTCCTGGATGTTTTTCCCCCATTGTTATTTTGAGTTAAATCCCAAAAGGGATGGGGGAAAGGGACAGAGACAGCAGCCGAGGAATGCAGGTGGAGACCCACCCCGTGCCTGCTGGTGGTGGCATGCCAAAAGGAGGGCAGCAAAGCCAGAAAAGCAACCCCTGTGCCTAGGACAGCGACAACCTCTCACACCTGGACACCCCCCCGACACAACAGAGGCTGGGCAGCCTTGTGCAACGGAGACACCACATTTAACGACAGCCTTGCCTTGTGCTGACTGAGCCATGGCTGCAGAGCTCTTCCACTTGTTTCTGGCTTTCAAGAAGTGGTTTGTTTTGAGCTAGGCTGTTCGTTAGCCAGGGGAACAGGTGCAGAGAATGCAGTCGGGTCAGTCTGGGCCTGGACCGACACTGGAGTGATCTCAAAGTGATGTTGAGTCGGTCTTCAGTGGAAATGGCAGACAGGGAGATGGAGAGGGGACATCTATGCTCTTGGAAGTGGCAGTCATTGTGGGATGGAGAAACAACATGCCTGCCAGTACGCTCTATCAGGCAGCAGCAGAAAGACTGGCGATCGGAGGGCTAGGCTGAGCAAGGGGGCAGGAAGAAAGGGACCATGGATGGACAGGGCAGTGGAACCTCGACAAGACATGGGTGGCTTAGCATCTCTGCATGTTTGTGGAAGCTACTGTGCTGCCCTGGAATGGAGCAAGTGGAACCCTGAATGCGCCGAATCTGACAGAGAAGGATCCAGTCAAGGAGAAGAGAGTAGACTCTGGTTCGAGCGGGCTTCCCTCAAGTCCGAGGACAGCGGGGGGAAGGGCTCCTCCCCTCACCCCCACAGGCAGTATACCAACAGCAAAGATGCACAAGAGGCCTGGGAAGAAAATCTGATGTTGGATTAGTGCAAAGAAAGTGGGACACTCAGGTGCACCTATGACTGTGAAACAGCTGACACTTTGCAGCCCAGAGCTGACTAGCTAGGATGTAATCTGGGAAGCAAGGAAGGTGGGGGCAGATACTGGCACACTCTGAAACCCTGATGGGCAGAGGAAGATATGCTAGGGGACACTGGATAGGTTGCTGGAGAAGGGGGACCTGCACATTGGTGCAGGCCTTTATTTCTAACCCTGGGCTCTGTGGTCTGACTCTTGGACACCCCAACTCAGATTGGTGCTGTGCCCATAGAAAATTCAACAATGGATGAATGCACTGACTGGTATGGATTGGTTGGGCACTATGCCTTGGGATGTCAGGGATGGCCTGGGATTTCATGGTGGGCCCCCAGCAGATGCTGGATCTGGTTTCCCCTTCACAGCAGATGAAACGTGGTCTGGATATGGAGGAGGTTACCACCTGTCCCTTACCATGCTCTGATCACTTTCTAGCCAGGTTGCAGGTCACAAGCACCCTTGATCTCTGTGTAGGTGAGGAGCCTATTAAGATGGCCCACCCCAGTGCCTAATGGATCCCGAGTGTTTGGGAATTCCCTGACAGTTCAGTCTCAAACCTGATTCATCTCCAAACAGTTTTCAGTTGCCAATCCCAGCTGGCTCCATGCTTCTTGGAGGAGCTGGAGAGAGCAAAACAATGCCTAGAGCAGCCCTGGTGAAAAATGGGACACCACCGAGTCGTAGCGTGTGCCCACATTTGGGCCTACACAGTGACAACTGGCACTTCTTCGCTTTTGCTGCAGCTGCAGATCCTGCGCAAGTTCACCCAGAGACCTTTTGGCAGGAGGCGGCTCCGGCAGGCTGCTTCCCCCTTTCTTCTGTCCCTCGGGGCCAGATGCCAACTGGCACAGCCAGGGGAAGTGGACTGGACCACCTCTTGCTCTGTGAACCGACCTCCTGACTTTTCAGTTTGTGGAACCTGACGGTCAATGGTAGAACCAGAGTTGCCTGACTCCTCACAGTATTTATAAAAGGGTTATAAAGGTACGTATGTTGAATCCTCCAGCATTTCCCCAAGCCCTCTTTCAACTGACTTTTTCTGTCTCATCCCCATTTTGACACAGAAACAAACTAACTCCCTTTGCTCTGCTCATACTGCGAAGAAAAAAGAAAAAGAAGAACGGTTGCGAGGGCAAATCTGCCTCAAGAAAGAAACATCTGGTATGAAGGTACTGGGCAATTCCCCTGGCCTTTTTACCTTGCTAAATAGAGTATTTTGGTTGCCCAGAGCTGCAGGACAGGAAAATTAGAAGGAAGACTCACAAAAGCATAACCTAACACAAAGCCAACTCACACATACCTCAGTGTATCATCAGCACAAGTTGTCACCACTCTGTCTCCGGTCACAGGTGAAAAGTAAGCTGAAGCAACGCTCTTGGTGTGTCCGGTGAGAGCAAGTACTGGCTGGCTTCTGCTCTTCAGGTGCCGAGCATCATAAATACTGACGTTTCTGTAACAGCAATGGGAACATGATCTTTACCAGGACTGTCCATTTCCTAGGAAGGGAATCTCCTCCCACCGGAACAAGCAGGACTAAGGAAAAAGAAGGCACGTCTCCTCCCACAGTGGAGAATCCAAGTTCACAGTTGTGGGGAATCAAAGTAAGGAAGCTTTTCAGGAAGACTCTCCGTGTCCTGCGAGTGAAGAAACAGGTTTTCAGAGATGATAATGAGAGAGAGGATTTTTCGAACACATTTCTGGAATTTAATGGGGCTGTTCCCCCATTACTGCTTGCTTTCCTGCAGGATCACCTGCTCAGCCTACATGAAGTTTGTGCTTGAGGCCCCTTTTTCTGGTTTGTTATGTCACCATCCTCAGCCTTGTCAAACAAAGTCTAGTTGAGCCTGACTCCTAGTCTGATGCATGTGATGGAGCTCCCAGCTGGGCTGAGGGCTTTTTGATAAGGCCACAGGGTTGGTGCGCAGAATTGGAAGAGAGCAGAAAGGTGTTCTGTACCCTGGGAGCAAAGGAGTAGTGTGACAGGGAACTTGATGATGGTGATGATGATGGTGTATCCAAGAAGAAAACCTAGCACCACAAAGCCAGCTGGCTGCATGCGTGTGCCATGCATATAAAAAAGTAAACAAAACCAGACTCAAAGCTTATTGGGGATTACGTGGCCCTTCTCTGGGCCTCTACATGGGGCTACCCTTGAAGAGTATCCGGAAGCTACAGCTGGTGCAGAATGCAGCGGCGCGGGCAGTTCT